GAACTCTTTAAGGCTAAAAACTTAGTTATCCACACTATGCTTCACCAAATTTTCAAAATCAGCCTTTCTCTTCACTTTTCTTATAAGGCTTTAAAATCATCTCCATTGCTATCAATGGATGCTAGTTTAAAGTTTCATTGCTATGGAAGGGAAATTCCAGATTGATTTTATTTATTGTTAGAGTTCACCATCTCGCCAAGATGACACTAAATAGCTTACAGATCTTTCTTGTCACTGTGTTGACTTCTCTACTACAATATTTCCTCAACTTGTTTCAGAACTTAAAATATCCTTAACATCATTCTTCACATAAATTACATATTGTGGGTTATAGGGATGGCCACACTCACTTTGAAGTAGTTCACTTAATTTCTGAATAAAACACTATTTTGGAAAAGATAACCCAAGACCAGAGTCTTGTCCTGCTAATATGGTCTTTCCAATTTATGGCTTAATGTTTTTGAATTTACTGAAACTACTCAATGTAGCTGCTTAGCTGCAGTGTAATCCCATAATCTGATAGACAAAACCACATACGTTTTCATACAGATCAGAGCTGCCTGTCTAGTTAGTGCTGTCTTTACTAGCTGAACTAAGCACCTTCTCTTTCCATAGAGATCTTCAGGACCAACCACCACCATGACAGAGTATCAAGTATAACACAATCTCAATGTTCTCCTGGCTTCAGCCATTTTATCAGAGAAACCATGACATGTATTTTGTTTTCCATTTCTTTGTGTAACTATTGATGATGACTACGTTCAGACTGAGAAACAAGTTAATACTGGGTCATAAATACAGGTAGGCCTCAACTTACAACCACAATTGAGCCCAAAATTTATCTTGCTAAGTGAGACAGTTAGGTGAGTTTTGCCCCATTTTACATTTTTACCACAGTTGTTAAGTGAATCACAGCATTTTAAGTTAGTAATATGATTAAGTGAATCTGGCTTCCCCATTGACTTTGCTTATCAGAAGGTTGCAAAAGGTGATTGTGACCCGGAGAGACTGCAACCCTCATAAATGAATCAATTGCAGTGTCTGAACTTGATCATGTGACCATGGAGATGCTGCAATGGATGTGTAAAAATTGTCCTAACTCATTTTTTTCATTGTCATTGTAACTTTGAACAGTCACTATTGTAAATTGAGGGCTACTGTAATTCTACAGCCTTAAGTCAATGATCAGTTTGAGGTACTGTCAATTTCATGTAAAACAGATTAAAAATTATATTTGGCACTGGTAATGGTAGCCAGTCAGGATCCCTATCCACTACCATTTTGTTTTATGTCATCTATATTTTTTGTTTTAAATGCCTCCCAGTCTAAAGTTTCTGAGCTTCTTAAAGTGTAGTTATTAGCATAAAATTAATGACATTAATATTGACCTTGATCAAATTTGTAACAGTATTGCTTTCATTATCAAAAAAAATAAGTGTAGTAAATGTGGTGTCCCACTAGCACTTCTTTCAAAGGTAACAGCAATCCATAATCAGTTCCAGAATCATCTAAAATATTAAATAGGCAGTGATAGTTCATTGGTATAGGAAAATACTGAATTAACATTCAATTAGTATTGTCAGTTATTAGTTGGTTTGTGATCAACAGATTCAGTCGTATTTTTCACTCTTCTAACATGTTTATAGCTGATTTTCTAGAGGAATTAAGCAGACAAAGAATGGTCCAGAAAAAAAGCTCTAATCATTAGCACCAAGATGCTTCAGATGGTGCATTTCCATGGAAGCTTTGAAGATAAATGATAATTACATTGCAAGTATGCTCCAATGAATCACCAAAGCCATACACAAGTAAATACAAATGTTTTCTGATTGATTTATTATTTAATCTAGGTGTTGGGTGAGAAGAAAGAGATCTGGCAATCATTTTAAAAATGTTTATTTCTAGCCCTGAAAGAATCATTAAACACAGGCAATACAGTAGTTAATATTGTGGTAACATTAAATAACAAAATGGGATTAAATTATACAAAACTTGAGGACAATTTAAAAAATTAAAAGCTTGCATTATTTTCATCTCCATCTGACAAGGAAAGGAACAAATAAAGAAATCATTAATTCCAGCTACAAAAACAAATTCTTCAACACTTAATAGAAAAGTTAATTGACTCCAACTGTTCCAGAGTGTGCATATGATGACCATTTAACTGGATGTAATTTCAAATGATGGATGACTCCAACCCAAATCAAACATGCTTCACTTTATGCTAAGTGGGAGGGAGGGAGAATAAGAGCTCATCATTCCAGATAAGCTTGCTTTAATGAAATATGTTCTTTCTCATTACCGTATCACACCATCAAACATACATGACAATCTTGCCTAACATCCAAAAGCTGATTTAGTTACTTGATGAAAATGATGAGTTCTGTTTATGAACTCATACACTCATGAACATTTGTCACCCCAGTTTTAATAATACATAGCTATCCAAAATATCCTCTCTTCAGCAACCTCCACAAAACAGAATTTTGATTTAGAAAATTGCAGGTATTGTGTGCTTTAAAGATGGACAGTTTTAAATTTTAATCTGGTTCAATGTTTTAAGTTGACCAAAAATACTTATGTTTCAGAAATATGTACCTCATGACTGAATGAAGCAGCCAATATTTATTCTCTTTATTTCTGAAAATCTGATTAATGTAAATTTTCTACTTCTGTGTCTGAAACAAGTTACAAATGTTCAATCCAAAGTATACAAATTACAAACCAAACATTGTTGCTTTATTTATCTAATGGAATGTTCCCATCAATTCATTTCTATCCTTTTTAATGGAACAATGGGCACAAAAATTAGATGATTATATAAGCTATATATTACATTTTAGGAATATCAAATAGACACAATTTGGAGTACTTGAATACCTTGAGGCAAAGTAATGTGTACAACGTACTTCAATTCCTGTGTTAATTGTAAGAAACTTTGAGTGATTTGAAAAACATTGTTAAAATTCAGTTCATTATTTACTAAAATCCATGTTATTAAGGTGACAATAAAAGTTAAGAATTTTAAGTATTCAGAAAAGAACTACATTTTCATATTATTATAAAAAACACTAAAACATACATATCCACAGAAGCCTTCATTTCTACATATTCCATTGCCAGCAACAGACAAACACCCAATAAAAAATTAAATTAACTGGAAGTTTTAATGTCTTAAAAATTTATCAATATAAGATCAAATTATTTTAACTTCCATATTAACATTGAAAGTCATTTTTAAAAGAAAGAACTGGATTTAAAATACATCTCAGACTAGGATATCACACCTTCTTGGACCAAACCAAAGCATGTTCAAAATATTCTGAAAATAAATAGACTGGTTTGTTACACAATTTTCTGAGTAATACTTCTGACAAGATATGGATGTACAAGTGTCATATTGTTTTAATTGCATTAATAAGGCATTGCTGGTATCAATCAGAAAGCAAAAAACGTTCCAAGGTGAATAGGAATTAGAGCCCTTTGTACTACTGTGGATCAAAACCTACAACATGGCCAGCAGCCATTTTACAATACCTTCATCATGATCTTCTGATATGAAAATTATTCACAAATAGAAAAAGGGCTTTAAGCACTGACCATGAGAAAAGTTACAAGAGGCAGCTTTTTAATTAGGGCTTTTAGAAGCTCTCCCAAAAATACTATCTAGGAATGCAAGAAAGCTAGAGCACCAAATTAAACAATGTCTTATATTATTATTTGGCACATTATCATTCAGAAATGTTTTATCAAGGTCACAAAAAATACAGTGATTTTAAATTTGAGCAATGTGAGATTCCAAATCTTGCCCCATTTAACCAGATGTTGGCTTAATTTTATAAATCTAATCAGTTTCTTTTATCATGAGGCACTTTATCTGATTTTCTCCTTAATAGTAAAGTTTTTCAAAAGGAAGAATAACCAAGACAAAGTTTCTTAGTCACTCACAAGACAATTCCAATAATTTTGAACCTAAATTATTCCCTCTCCCATTTTTATCTAAAATAGCACTTCCGGTGTTCTGAGGCTTTAGTCAGCTGAATCGTATAAAAGTCTTGGATCTTTTGCAAATCTTCTGGGTCTTTTATTAGTAGAAATAGTATGAATATATATATATATATATAGAGAGAGAGAGAGAGAGAGAGAGAAAGAGAAAGAGAAAGAGAAAGAGAAAGAAAGAAACCTCTAATACTTAGTCCTGACAATTTCAAATTTGCTTTGAAGAGAAAATGTACAACATATACAAAATGTATTTAATACAAAGAAAGGTAATTTTAAAAATCAGAAGGCACCAACATCCCTTTAAAAAAGTTACCAATCAGCCTATATAGGCAAGGGACAAATGGAAGACAATTCACAGGAGTGGGGTTTTCTCCCCAACCTCAAAGGATGGTTTCATTACTGAAAAGAAAATACTTTTCCCATTACCCAGCAGGCATTTGCCCTCCAACAGCGAGAGGCATCTTTCCCTTATTTTACAAAGTCCATGCACAAATTTCTACATCCAGTTGTGCTGAGCTGCTTTCTTTCCACTCTGTCTTCTGTTCTTTGTTTCAGAACTGTTACGGAATAGTTACAATCCCCAGGTATCTGGATGGTTAACATAAGAAGGCATATACCTAACTGCATATTAAAAGGAGAAAGAGGATCTTTCACATTTCTATCTGTCTTAAGTAACTCAAACGTTCCCATGCTTTGAATTACTGCCTAGCAAAGGAAACCTAAGGTGAAAAAGGGTCAGCACATTACAGTAATACCTCCCTCTAAAAGCTTGAATCAATTATTCAAGTATTGCAAATGTTCAAATCAGAGCACAGATGGGAACTGGTACAGCAAAGTCACTGAAAAACAACTCATTGGCACAGCAAAATATTGAGTTGTCTATAGAAGTGGTAAAAAGGCCAGTGATTCAGTTTATAACTTCTTCAAGACTTGCAGAAAAGTTCACTATTATCACCATTTTTCTTCTCTTTTATCTTAGAGCTGAGGTGAATTTTTTCCCTTCTGCAGACTTTCAACATCTCTAACAAGAGCAACAACTTGTATATTATAGGAAGATTTAAACAAGAAACAAAGCAGACAAACAAACAAAACCAGGAATGATGAAGGTCACAATAGCAATGCTAGCGATTACTCTTCATGGCTTCTTTGGCCGCTAGAATCAATGGTGTCAAACTTGACAAAGGTTTTGCCAGTTTCAAGAAAGGATGCTAATGGAAAGAGAAACAGGAAGTTTTAATGGATAGATATTTCAAAATACCATTTCAAAAGAAACACTTTGAAAACAATCCAAAAATGAAATTATACACAAACATGGTAATGATAAGAATATATTAAAAGAAAGGAGAAGCATGAAACCTTGGGGAAGTTTCAGTACTCAAGACATTAAGTCACAGAAGTAACTCCATAGATGGATATTACAATGAAGGAAAATCCACCATTTCTTTACCAGAATATTTAAATAATTATAATTTTAACTACCTTACTATGCTATGAATAGAGATAATTCTATCCTAAGGAATTCCACTGACGTAAGTGTAGATGTCATCCTTCTATATACAATAGTGACTATTCTTAGCTGTACCTTTACAAGCATCTAGGAAGATTATGTAATTGTCTTCCTTTCTCCCCTTCATGACAATTTTCATGCATTAGCAATGTGAACCCTGCATCTATATGTTAAAGACAGGCTTTTAATTTCAGTTTAAGTTGAAGTGGAAAACGAACAAGTGGAGGTATAGAACATCCTGATACAATCACACAATCTTATAGTACTTAAGCCAGAAGGGTGGGGATTCTGCAATTATCTGTTTTCCACTGGTTTACTATATGGCATTTACTATCTTGATGCATACAAAAGGAATAGAAAGATTCTATCTAAATATCCAAGAATTTTAAGAAAAGCAGTACTTGTTCCCAAGAAATCAGGTTGGGAAATTCCCCTTATTGAATGTACTTTGTTTATATTTAACATTCTTCTTAACTTACAACACTTTAGTTCCTTTACCTGTAGTAGTTCTTTGGCTGATCCTCTTTTCTCTACATCCATTTCCAAACAACTATTTAAAAAGTCACGGAATATTGGAGTCAGCTTCTCTGGGCTCTGCAGCTCTGGGGTGCCATTAGTTGCTATTAAATATAATGCCTGTAAAGAAAAAAACCTTGAGCATTAATAAATCAAAAGCTGATAAAAGGTTTTTTTGTTTTGTTTTTGTCACATACAATTTGAAGAGACATGAAAATTATTCAGTCTTGGTAGTCTGGTAGTCTCCTATGGCAGCGGTCTCCAATCTTGGCCACATTAAGATTTGTGGACTTCAACTCCCAGAATTCTCTAGCCAGCTATACTATGATGCCTGGGGAATTCTGGGAGTTGAAGTCCACAAGTCTTAAAGTGGCCAAGGTTGAATACCCCTGTTCTATCATGTATTTCCCATGTTTAATATATTTCAGAAAATCCTGGTTTTCTTAAAAGCTGACCCTAGCCCTATTTTGGATTTTGGAGGTCACCCAGTACCTTGGAATACTACAACTCTTTTATTCACTCATTACATTCTTTTACACATCCACTCCCCTTGATTCTTTTAAATAGATTAGTCTGAGCCTGTGATATGTTGTGATATTATTTGGGAGTTACCTGCGGAAACCACTTTGTGTGTTATGGGAAGGCAGGGCTGTAAGCTAGTAGCTCTGTCCTCATTAGTAATCTATGAAAGTATGGCACAATAACAAGCAAGCTCTATGCCTCAGCTTAACTTAACTTTCTCTAAAAATCGCCAACTCATCTCCATGACCAACTTAATCAGGAAACAGAAAACAAGAAATAAAATGGGTGATCCCATTTAATTTTCTGCCTCTGTCCAACCCATCCCATTCGTTCAAGAAAACATTCTTAGTGAGGGTCATGAGAATAATAACAGTTCTACATCTCTATTCTGCAACTTTTTCAGTTTTTTAAAAATATTTTATCAAAGTTCATGTAATTTGATTGAGATGTGCTATAAAAATAAGAATACATTTTCAGAGAATGGCTAAAATCTATTTAGTCTGTGTTAGACTATAATACTAAATGTCCCTAAGCTTTACTACTAGCAAACTATATGCAAACTTTCCCCTCGTAAGGGATCATACAGTTTTGGTTTTTTTGCTGCATTGTGAGATAAGTTTTGTTATAGTACTTACCCTCAAAGGGTTTTCATTGAGATATGGAGGTTCACCTTCAACCATTTCAATAGCCATAATACCTAAAGACCAGATATCCACCTTAGGACCGTAAGCCTTCCGTGTGACCACTTCAGGAGCCATCCAATATGGTGTTCCAACCATTGTACTACGTTTGCTTTGCTCTGGAGTTATCTGAGCACAAAACCCAAAGTCAGCTGCAGAGGAAAAAGAAAAAAAAAAGGGGGGGGGAGCAAACATGACTTAAATATATCTCTGAAGTCATTTTTGACATCTTTATCATCCCAATTATCCTGAACAAAGAGCTCTTTTATGCTCAGTCAGGTAGTCCTGCACTTGTAACCACAACTGGGATGAGAATTCCTATTATTAACCACGGGGGGGGGGTGTTAAGTGAATCACACCCAGTTTTACAATTTTTGCCATGGTTGTTAAGCAAATCATTACAGTTATAAAATGAATCACATGGTCATGTGAATCCAGTGTCCCCATTGACTTTGCTTGTTGGAAGCCAGCTGGGAAGGTCACAAAATGGTGATTATGTAACCCTGGGATGCTGCGACCATCATAAATACATGCTGATTGTCAAGCCCCAAAATTTCTATTATGTGACTGTGGGGATGCTGCAATGATCCTGAGTGCAAAAACCAGTCATAAGTCATCTTCTTCAATGGTACTATAACTCTGAATGACTGCTAAATGAATTGTTGTAAATAGAGGACTACCTGCATTGCTTCTTCAAACACTGAATTTTAAGAGTGAAGACTCCTGAAAACTCTAGGATGGAACAACAGTCATACTATAATATTATGCTTGACCCAACATTAATTTGAAATTAAGAATGTTCCTAATGTTTTGCACATCACATTTAAGCACTCACATTTAAAAAATAAATACTAATATTAAAATAATATGGTGATTTCATTTAGACAGGAAATAGGCAAATCTTGAAAGAAATTTCCAAAAAAAGTACATTATTCTTGTCAAGCAGATTTGATCAAGGTATTGATTTATCCTTAGGAAAAAAGAACCTTATAATATTATGTTTTAGGTGCAAATTGAAAAGGACGGAGCCTTATGCAATTGAGAAGGAACATCACGAAAGGGTTAGAAAGTATAAAAGTGGTGATGATGTTAATAAGCAATACATATTCCAACAGAAATATATTACTTTTTGTTCATTCATGTTTGGGGGTATGTCTGTTTTAATTATGACTTAATCTATACATCAGCTGTAATATAGAATTAAAAACAAATTTTGATGAATTCAATGGAATGGTATGGTCCCTGAAGAATTCCTAAAAAAAAAAAAAAAAAGCCAGCATAGAAAGCATAGAAAAACTGCATGTTTCAATCATATAATCAACTTTAGTACATTAACATTTCTTAAATATACATGTAAACAGAAGGGATAGTACAAATTCCAAATTTTATAACTGCAATATGTACTTGCAGTTTATCTTTCCCACAACACTATAATTGTTTGGACTACAAGTTTTGTTTCAGATGCAGCAATATAAAATACTAAAAATGTTCAGAATTCTTATCATTGACCATCCATAACCATGACAACATATATAGTCTAAACTTATCTCTTCAATTTAAATTTTCTGAGTCAAAATTATATATTTTCTTATTTTATAAAAAAAGACTTGATAGGTTTTAAATACTGCTTTTGCTTATTAATATTGCAATGCATTTGTTAAAATGACTGTACCAACACAAATCCTGTTCAGCTTTGTACTTCCTTGTTTTTGAAGCATTGGATGACATTTTAAAATAGGAAGGGAAGGAAATGTCCACAGGACTGGCTGACTGAATCATTTCATTGTTAATCTAATCAAGGTTGCCACCTACTGGCTTAAAAATGAAAACTTAATGGTGATATGAAGTTTAATATTACTTTTATAATGTGAATGCTGGAGCTATCATGTACTTACTCAGCTTAACTGAACCATCCATTCCCAAAAGCACATTGTCACTTTTAATATCTCTGTGAATCACCTGGTTGGCATGTAGGAATTCCAGTGCCTGCAAACACTGTATGAAGATAATTGAAAGGTTTATTGTCTACACAAATTCAAAATTAATATTTGGCTAATTGAGTTATCTCAATAGCTAAACTAGCCTCACTTAAAGACCATAATTGACATCGGCAACTTCACTGCTAAGTGATATGGTCATTAAGTGAAATATCACGCAATCACATCGGACTTATAGCAGTTCCACTGCAGCCATTAAAGGAATTATCCATATTCATTGAGCTATTACTGCAACTTTCAATTTTACTGCCAGATTCTCCATTTGCTTTGCTTTGTCAGAAGTAAATGATCACAAATGCAATCACATTACCTTGGGAGGGCTGCAATGGTTTCAGCTTCAAAGGGTTATTAAACATTGCAGTCATTATCTGTATCCTCCAGAGCCTTTAAGTATTTGACATTTACTTAAGCAAAAAAATAAAAAAAACACAAAAAACCCCAAATGTTTCCAAAAATTCTTACACAATTTCAGAAATTAAATTTGAAATGAAACCACAATTCTTTTTGCTAGGTATTATCCCAGAACATATAAATAAAAATACAGTAAACTTAAACTCAGAGAATATGCAGAAATGGCAAAATTAATACAATATATACATTACAGTAGTTTAACTAAATTTAAATAGGATTGGCTTCCCTATATACCGGTTTCCCCGACAATAAGACCCAGTCTTATTCTCTCTTTGGCTTAAAAATAAGCACTTGGCCTTATTTTGGGGGTGGGTTTTTCTGTTTTACGTGTAGAAAGCGGTGGGGGCTGACAGGAATGGGAGCACAGCTACTGCTAGCCCCACTCTCTCTGACCCACTATCTGCTTGTCCGCTGCGACGGGCTCAGCTGTCGGCATACCCCAGCCTTCACTATGCCAGGCAGCAGGACCCCAGCACAGCGGCCTAGAGTAGCATTGCCAAGAGGGTGAAGAGCCCACGCCAAGGCCAGCAGCAGCATGGGCAGCAACTTAGCCGTTTTTTAAGACTTGTGGATTTCAACTCCCAGAACTCCCTATAGCCCCTGCCCTTTTTCTGCCGATCGTCCTTTTCTTGTGTTAAGACGCGTGGAGGGAGGCATTAAAAGTTAACATTTTGGAAATGTTACCTTCTGAGGTCTCCCAGTGCAATGCTCTGCCGCAGCTTTGGAGCAAGCCTCTCTACCTTCCCTGCGCAGGATTGCAAGACTAGAGGCTTCGGATAAACCATTTTTGGGGTGTGTGTCTGTGCAGGACTCCTCAAGGAAAGGACGATTGACAAGAAAATGGGGGGGGGATTTCCCTGCTGATCGTCCTTTCCTTGGGAGCCCTGCACAGACATCCATCTCAAAAATGCTCCATTCGAAGCCTTCAGTCTTGCAATCCTGCGCAGGTAAATTGGAGGTTTGCTCTGAAGCTGTGGCAGAAGGTTGAACAGGGAGGCCTCCACAGGTTACACTGAGTTGTACGTCTTGCTCAAGTAAGAGGGGTACAGGCTGGGGGCTTGGCAGCCAGGGAATATGGGGTTTTGAAGTGCAAAGGAGGAAGGGGCAATCTGTCCCTCCCTCCTCCGTCCTGCTGCAGGGCTGCCACAGAGCTCGCACAGGGCAGCACGACTGCTGGCGAAGGGGACCATGGCAGGCCAGCAACGGGAAAGGTGCTCTGGAGATCTGGGCCAAGTTGCCCCACACCATACAGGAGCAGCACAGTCAGGAAGGCGATGAGACCCCACAAGACCAGCAGCAGCAGGTCCAGCAGCTGGACAGAGGCAGCGGGGGAGCTGATTCCAATGTGCTGCACAGCTTTCTGCCTCACTGAAGCATCAGCCCAATCAAGACCTGAGCTCCAGGTCTGCTGGAGCACAAACCATGGTCACCACCTGCTCCAGAGCTACAAGGTGAGCTGTGGGAGAGGGATCCTCGGCTACGAGGTTGCTTGGCACCATGGGCAGGGCTGGGGCTGGCAAGAGTGTGCCAGAAACACCTCCAGGCGCCCAGAGAGTCAGAATGAGAGGCAGCTCTCCATGTACTTTTGTCTGATATGATCAATCTTTTATTAATGTTAGACATTAATTGAGTAACTTTATATATAAAGTTATATATATTGTCAGGATTCCGACAAATTTAAAAACTTAAATTTAAAACTAGAACATACTAAAGAACACAACTTGTTCTAAAGGAGAAATTACACCTCTTAAAAGCATCCACACTTACTAGAAAGTTGGAATGACCGAATTTGATGATGCTATACAATGCTACTTACAAATGG